GTTTTAAATTTTCATATACTCCCTCCCTCTGTTCCAATTAACTAACTGTCCAGTTTAGATTCTCATTTTTAGATTAATTCAAGTTAAAAATGAAAAATCTAGTATGGAATGATTTCAGAAAGGATGGAGTATTATATGTTTTGTCATATACCTTTCAAATATTTGATACGGACAAGGCTTTCATCCGTTTGATTTACTTACCACTTTTCTTAAAAATAATTTATGAAAATTAATTTGGTTACTCTTAACATATGAGAACTCTTAATTTATGGTAATAATATATGCCCTTACCACCCAGCGCTCTAGTTTTGCAGTATGGTAGATCCAATGATCTGCAACATTTTTACTAACGAAAATATCCTTGCTTGATTCTTCAAGTACTAACCATTGTTTAACAGGAAAATTTAGTCTAAAGATTGTTGGAATTCTACTTCAAGAATAGAGGACAACAATGGCTGCACTAGATCAAAGAACAAGAGGAAGAATTTATGATTAGGACAAAAGAAAGTTTTGTCTCCAAGTCACAAGTAAATTTGCTTTCCTTTAGGCTAAGTTCGCCCACTATACAATGCAATTATCTAGGCGAATTCCCTATGAGATAAAATGGAGATCATGTTGTTTCACTATGCACTTTAGTGAACCAACAACCTGATACAAGGATAAGAAATGTCATTGGAAATATTCCAAGTATTTGGTAATTTTATTGTACACTAAAAACATCCAAATGATCCATATTTATAGAGTTAGAGAAAATGCTTGAGGATTAAACGTAATCCTTGGTTATGGTCCTAGACATAACTTTTCATTAATGTCTTTTCATATGGAGTTCATAGGCACAACCTATTAGTTATGTCTCTAGAATATATTGAAAATACCCAATAGTCACAACATATTAATTGTGTCCCTACAATATATTAAAAATAACTCCAACAGGCTCAGCCTAAGCAGGACTCTAGCTGGCAATGGAAGAGACTGCTCAAACTAAAGAAAAGGATCAAGGGAGAAGTGGTGAACAACAAATGGAAGCACAATGAAAATGGTATGTATTCTATGAGTTCTGGATATAACTGGTTAATGGGAAATCAACAACATTGCCCTGCTTTTGTTTTTATTTGGTCTAGAGATAATGTGCCGAAACACTCTTTTATTGTTTGGCTGTTTTAGAGGAATAGGCTACTGACAAAAGACAGAATCAATAAGTTTATTATAGTTCAGATTGATCCTTTATGTGTTTTATGTCTACAACACCGGGAAGATGCTGGACATTTATTCTTCTGTTGTAATGTCTCATGTGAAGTGCTGGATGGAGTAAACAGATGGTTGCAAATTAATTTGCCATACAATAAGTGTGGATGAATGAGGAGGATACTTTGGATTTGGCCAGCCTCAAAATTGAAAAGAAAAGTCTTGTTTGCTACTGTTGCTGCTCTGATCTACCACTTATGGGAAGAGAGGAATTCCATATGCTTCACTGGTAAAAAGATAACATCATAACAGTTGTTAAGAGTGATTAAGCAGGAGGTTTTTTGGAGAGTGCAGAGCTGCCTTAGAATGCTATACACAGAAGCGGAAAAGTCTATTTTGAATCTTTTTTTTTTGAGTATTGTATATAGTTGTGTTGGTTCCATTTTTGTTAGGAAAGGTATTCAATAGGGTTATTTTTTGAGTCTCTATCCAGTATACCCGGGGACACCATACTCCCCCTCCTATTTTTTACACTACTAGTCCTTCTTATACTTTTTTTCCACTTTTCTAAATAACATCCTATAATTTACAGGTTTAGTCCCTTTGATTTTTTTTTTCTCTCCTTTAAAAAACATCTCTAATCTTTAAACGACCATATCTCATGATCCGTAAAAAATTTGAACGTGTTATACATGAATTTTATAGTACTCGTCGAGATCTATCCAACAAGATCCATGTAGAATATTTTTTCGAGTTTATACATTACTAAATTTTGATGGGCAGAATGAGATGGATATCTAGTTTAGAAAGATGGATAACTAGTTTAATTTAGATTAAGATTCTTGTATTGCATATATCTCTTGATCCGTAAAGAATTAGAAACGAATTATACATGAAATTTATAATGCTCGACGAAATCTATTCGATAAGATCCATGTTTGAATATTTTTTTGAACTTTAAATGCATTTAAATTTTACGGGCAGAAATGAAGAAATGTGTTTTCCGTTTTTCTTTGAAAAATGGTTATCTGTTGTGTTCCTACTGATTATCCAACCGTTTGGACTGATTATCCATTCTGTTTGTACTTGTTATCCAATCATATTTTTGACATTCACTCTTTAAAAATAAAAAAGAAAGAAAGAAAAAATAATTGGATAAGTATTGCAAACAATTTGGATAATCAATAGAAAATAATTGGATAATCAGTGTAACATGTTGGATAATCAGTACAAAAAATTTTGACAATCATTTTCATAAAAGAGCAAGGAAAAAAAATACTGGATAACCACCACAAAGAAGTTGGATAATCGATATGAACACATTGGATATCCAGTTTAAGGAAGATGGATAACCAACTTATTTTACATTCATATTGTTGTGTTCCTTACATCTTTTGATCTGTAAAGAATTATAACACGAATTACATATGAAATTTATAGTGCTCGACGAGATCTATCCGATAAGATCAATGTTGAATATTTCTTTTGAACTTTAAATACATTTAAATCTTACGGGCAGAAATAAATAAACTGAAAAATAATTATCCGTTGTGTTGATACTGATTATCCAACTGGTTTGGTCTAATTACCTATTTTGTTTTAAAAAAATAATAATAATAAAAAGAAAAACCAAATGGATAGATATCAAGTAGAAACGAGTTGGATATGCAGTACAAATCAAATGGATATCCAGTACAAACAAGTGGGATATCCATTACAAACAAGTTGGATAGGCATACAAACCAAATAAATGGATATCCACTACAAACAAGTTGGATAAATATCCAGTGCGTACAAACAAGTTAGATAGGCATACAAACCAAATGGATGGATATCCAGTACAAACAAGTTGGATAGGCATACAAATCAAATAGATGGATATCCGGTACAAACAAGTTGGATATCCAGTACAAGCGAGTTGGATATCCAGCACAAACAAGTTAGATATGCATACAAACTCGTTGGATTACGACTACAAAACAAGTTGGATAAGCATATAAACCAAATGGATGGATATCTAGTACAAGCGAGTTGGATATACAATACAAACGAAATGGATATCCAGTACAAACAAGTGGGATAACCATTACAAACAAGTTTGATAGGTATACAAACTAAATGGGTGGATATCCAGTACAAACAAGTTGGATAAGCAGTTCAAACTGGTTGGATAATCAGCATAAACACAATGGATAACCAATTTAAAATGAATTGGGTTATCCATCTTTCTAAACTAGATATCCATCTTATTCTGCCCATCAAAATTTAGTCATTTTTAAACTCGGAAAAAATATTCACTATGGATCCTGTTGGATAGATCTCGACGAGAACAATAAATTTCATGTGTAACACGTTTTCTAATTTTTCACGGATTAAGAGATATGCTTGTTTAAAGATTAGAGATGTTTTTTTGGAAGAGAAAGAAAAAATTGACAGGGACTAAACTTGCAAATAATAGGAAGATTATTAGAAAAAATAAAAAAAGTACAATAAGGACTAGTAGTGCAAAAAATAGGAAGGGAGGTATGGTGTCCCCGGGTGCACCCAATAAATTGCCTGTTTTTTGGTTGTATATATGTGCTTCGATGGCAAGTTATCAATATATTTAAATTTTTACCCAAAAAAAAAAAAAAAAAAATTACTAATCTCTCACTAATTATTTTAAATAAATTATTCCTTTTCTAATCAAATATTTCAAAATTTCAATACACACTTCTAATTCGACATTATTAATTTTTAAATACATTAAAAATAAAAAAATCTTAAATTGAGATAAAATCTAATCATCACTTTCCCCAATCGGAACAAATTTTCTACCTCTATTTGTAATTCTTTTTATCATCTTTATCATACAATCCTGATTTTTCTTGTTATCTTTAGTATCAAGTGTGGCTTTCGTTACTTATCTGTTTTACTCCAAACCCAATGCCACTGCTAAATTTGATACTGAGAACTAAGTATAGGAAGAGAGTGGTGGAGTGTCGTGATGGTTGTGCGTTCAAGAAAAAGTGGAAATCACCAAACGAAAAAAAAAGGAAAAGAAAAGATGAAATTAAGATATTTTTGATCATTCTCCTACTTACGTGTCTTTATTTAGTATTTTTTAAATTTATTTTACTAATTTATAAGATAATCATTGATGGAAAATTTCGAGAACATAATGAAAACTCTTTAAAAAAAAAAAAATTGACATCCGAAGATTTACGAAAAATGACAAGGATGTCCTTGACAAAAAACATATACCTTGGATGTAAAGTATAAGCAGCCGTTACTAGCTTCTTAATTGTAAAAACTTACGAAATGACCTGTAATAAATTTTTTGTTTAGTAAAGTCACTTGTACTGGAAATAAATTCTTTAAATCACTTGGGATAACCTATTTTATTGTTCATTTATAAATAAATAAATATGTGTGACTGTTTCTAATAGTGGATGGCGTCACAACAAGTATGGACCCAAAAATCTTCTCCTTCACCAGGTCATGGTGACTAAACATAGTGCTCCCCGTCCCTTTTCTTCTCACTTTTCCGTTTGGAACTCGAACTTAAAGGGATCTAAGAACAATTTTTTTTTTTCTTTCTTACATGTGATTGGGATCCTTGTGTGTTTGTGGCGGCCACAGCCACAACCACGACAAAATTAACAATAGTGACTCTTCATTTAAGGGGAAAAAAAACGCAACTAGCTACTTCTCAATAATTAATTAGCTAATTGCTGATTTAAATAATAGATGCCTCGAAGAATAGGGTTGTTATGAAGAAAAAGCCAAATTCAAGTTATCTATACATATATCTCTTCATTATATGGTATTAGTACATAAATCAAAGGTAGCTCTTTAGTTATTTCCACTGATACAAAGAAAGAAATCAACTATGGTGATGCCCATTAAGGTAGCAGTTATCGGAGCAGGCGCTGCAGGGCTTGCTACTGCACGTGAGCTTAAACGACAAGGCCACGAGCTGGTCGTCTACGAAAAATCTCATGAAGTCGGAGGAATATGGGCGTATGATGATCGGGTTGAGAGTGATCCTTTAGGTATCGACCCGAAGCGCCAGATCATTCATAGCAGTCTATATGCCTCAGTTAGGTCAACCATCCCTAAAGAGATTATGGGATTCTCAGATTATCCCATTAATGTTAGGGACAAAAATGGCGTTATCGAAAATTTCCCTTACCACGAGGAGATTTTGCAGTTTCTGAAGAATTTTGCTAAAGAGTTTGGACTGCTTGAGCTAATTCAGTTTAGCACAGAAGTGGTTCGAGTTGAACAAACAACAGAAAATGGACCGTGGGTCGTTGAAGCGAGACACCAAAGAAACCCTATGACGATCGTCAACTCGAAGAAACTGTATGATGCGGTTGTTGTTTGTAACGGCCATTTCACACAGCCAAAGCTAGCTGAGCTTCCAGGTACGTAATAACTTGATTAATTATAGTATGTTTTCATTCACGCATGCAGTTCTTGTAAATTTTCTATTTACGTATTTTATATTTTGTTTTAACTTTTTGCAAGCTTATTATTGTTGAGTATCCCACATTAGTGGTGGGACAGACTTGATATTAATATATAAAACTACGGACTATTCCCCTCATTGCCAATTGATTTTGATGTGGAACCTCATTGGCTGGTATCAGAACCAGCCCGCCAAAGGTCGGACTCCAAGCCTAATGTGATAAAACTGGTAGGGCTGAGACGTGAGGCGGTGACTATGCTGAAAAACATAGACAAGCCCAAACGAAGAAGATACGTTGGGCTTGCGGGGGAGTATTGAGTATCCCACATCGGTGGTGGGACAGACTTGATATCAATATATAAGACTATGGACTACTCCCGACTATGGACTACTCTCCTCATTGCCAATTGGTTTTGAGGTGGAACCCCATGGGCTTCTATAATTATTTGTTCGTACGACAGTAACTTTGTTTTTTTCTTCTATCCATCATGGCGGTTGGCTATTGTATATGGTTACATAAAAGGAATCGAGAAATGGCCGGGAAAACAAATACACAGTCACAACTATCGTGTTCCAGAACCGTTCCGAGATCAGGTCACATTTCCTATTAATTATGATTTTCATTTTTTGTTTTTTTTTTTTTTTATAAATAACGGTTACACCATTTTCGTACGGATATGCATGCCTGAAAGTTACAGATTGTAATTGTGATTGGTGATGGACCAAGCGCCCAAGAAATCTCGTCAGAAATTTCCAAAGTAGCGAAAGAAGTTCATCTTGTTTCCCGAAAATCTGGCGTTGTGTTAAAGAAAATGGAAGGGTTTGACAATTTATGGCAGCATCCAAAGGTCAGAACGTACACGCAAGTGTTTGATTATACATGTCCTGTATAATTGAGTTTTAGAAAATTGATCGTTAAAGCTGTTGTAAAAATATAAAGGTCGTGGTATAGAACTATTATGACAACTTTATATCTTGGCTCATTTTGTGTCTGTATTTCTTTTTTCTTTTTTCTTTTTTCTCCCTTTGTTTTCTTTTTAGTTAAAAAACTAATATAGGTTTGAGCTTCTCTTTGTATTTCTCACAGATAGTATATTGTTCTAAAAATGAGGAAGTTTCTTTTCAAGACTTAACTATCCACGCAGACGCTATTATTTATTGCACCGGGTAATTGTTTAATCCTTGTTGTACGGTCAAAATAATTATAATCTTCTGTTAATCTGTCAGATATCTAATAATTTGGTTTGTGCACTATATTGTTACAGATACAAATATTCCGTTCCATTTCTTAACACAAATGGTTATATAGCCGTTGAAGATAATCGCGTCGGACCACTATATAAACACGTCTTTCCTCCGCAACTGGCACCTTCGCTTTCTTTTGTCGGAATTCCTAGTCAAGTGAGTTATCTGTGTTATTATTAATACAAATCACAAAATCTGATCTGAATTATTTTTTTGGGCAGAGGAAATATCATTTATCTTCTCAACTCATAGGATAGATGAATGACTTACGTAAATAAATTTTAAATCAAGAAGTTTTAGGTCGATCTTAATTATGTGATTTAAGATGGTCTAAACATTTGCGGTCTAGCAGACCTATCGCAATTAGCTCGCCATTGTTTTTATTTTATTTTCCAACACCGTTTAAATTTCTTAACAGTCACTTTAACACTTGCAAATGTACTCCGAAACGATTATTAATTAACCAGTGATTCCAGATCATTGGTGAGTACAAAGCAATATATAGAAGACATAAATACAAACTTTTTAAAAATAGTATCGGATATCAGCATCATATTAATAACCATATTTGAACCGAACATCTCCGTAGGTAATACCTCCATCGGTCCCTTATTAAAAGAAATCAATCCTAATTTTACATAAACCCATGCTAAATTTAGTGGTAAACCTACGGTTCGGTCAAATATTTTAATGTGATGGTCAAAATATGCAATTTTTTTTTTAATTCATGGTGCAATGTTTACATTTCAAGTGTGTAATACTTAGTTTTCAAATGTGCAATACTCTTTTTGTCAAGTATGCAACACTAATTAACTAAATGAGCAGTACCTAATTATCTATCTAGTGTGCAATACTTAGTTTTCATGTGTGCAATATTTTTTTAATAAGTAGCTAAATGTGCCATACTTAATTATCTATCTAGTGTACAATATTTTATTTTCAAGTGTTCAATGTCTTTTAATTAAGAGTAAACTGTTCAAATGGCCTTTACATTTGGTAAAAAACTTTGTTTGGTCTTTTACATTTAAAATTTAATGGTTTAGTCCATTACTTTCATATTTTAAACTAATTCAGTCCTTTTTTACTTTTTTTGACACTTTACATTTGAGGTGATCATATCATGGTCAAGCCAACAGGGGTATTTTCGGTAATTTTTAATTCTCCAATAATATTTTTTTAACTAATTGTGCAATTTTTTTTTTCAAGCAATCCATGCCTTTTATTTTTAAACATAATTTCCACGTAATTCAATTGAATATGAATTTCAAAACCGTGTTTTTTTAATCAAAATTTTGGTACACAATGCCAAAATCGTATTAAAAAATTGATCAAATATACGAAAACTATTTTGGGCAATAAAAAGATAATCTCAATTTTTTTTCAGAATTATAATTTTGGTGGTCGATGCAAGAATGCCACAATGATTGTTGTGACATAAGAAACAATATTTAATCCATCATGCAATACTCCAACAAAAAATCACAAAGTAGAGGCCATTTTTTTTAATTTATTAGAAGTTCAAAATAAAAAATATTAAAGTTATCAAAGTTGTATTTTAAAATATGCAAGTTTTTTTTGGGGGGACGGGGAGGGGGAGCACAATACAATACTTTGGAACTTAATTTATAATCTGTATTATTTTAACATACAAAACTAGATTCTTGACCCGTGCATTCACACAGATATTGTAATCGATTTTCATCTCTTTTGTGTATTTAATAACCATACGTAATCCTTTAGCCCACGAAAATAGTCCATGTTATTAAAATACAATAACACAATAAAATCGACTTTTTTTTTAATTAGAGTGAAAATTATAGAAATTTCAGAACAACATTTTAGGCATGCAAACTATACAAGTCATAATAGTTATAATTAAGGGTGTCGAATTTTTTTATATATAAAACAATGAAGGAGAAAGAAAAAAAAAATTGAGTAGATTTCAAGGAAAACCAAACAGGAATATTATTAAGAAAAATGAATAGTAACATTTGGAATAATAGCTTTCACATTACGATACAATCTTGGTGTTTTGTTAGCTATGAATTCAGTTGGAAGACATTTTGTGCTTCATAGATTTATTATTTTTGCGCATCATTAGAGATGAACTCTAACGCATTCAACTTTTCTAGTTCACTCCTACAATTTGGGGAAGACTCTTGATTATCATTGCCTATAATCTGCACAGACTTCTTTCATTATACAATTAGCTAAAATGGTCAAGCTAATAAAATTAACAGAAATTCAAAATTTAATCTACAAAGATGGAACCAATACTACCACATGGTAAAAAAAAAGTTTGAACTTTTTAAATTAGCTATCGTAAGAAGATTATCTTTGATATTTGTCCACAAGCAATGGATCTAGCAGTAGCAGCAGCTAATACAAAGCAGTGGAGACAAGTATGAAAGAACGCATACTTTTTTTTTTCCTCTGAAAATATATGCTAATTGTTACAGAAATTTTAACATTTTCAATGCAAACTACATGTATTATGGACTACTCCATAAACCTTCAACCATCACACAATCGACAAGCATTTAAAAGCAATTGAAAAAATCATTAATGTCTTGTTGCATTAGAGAGTACCTGTTCTAAAATCTTTTGGATATTGACCTCAGCCAAACATAGTTGCAGAGCTAAGAAGAGTATCAAACTTTTACGCAAATTAGAAGGGTAGCTTAATTGCGCATCGTCTTGCTCTAGATACTTCAAGTTTAACAACAAAAATGATTTGGTACTTGAATAGAAATAAAATTGACTCCATGAAATTTGTGAATTGTGATTAAGAATGATCACTCACATATTAACTTCAAAAGTACAGGAAAAAAGCAGAAACTCCTAAAATTAATTTATCTTCGATGTACTGCTGCGAAAATTTGTTAAGACATCAAAATTCATGGATTTTTCACAGACTTTAAATCATTCAATGCTTTAAAAGACATTCTCCCAAATGACAATAAAGTTTTGCAAAAGTATTACCTGTGAAAATATGCATGTACAATTTTAAAAAATTTCTCCAAAATGCCTTACAGATCCAGTTCTTGTAAAATCCTTCGAAACAGAGTATAGAAAAAAGAAGAATAGATCAATGCAACTCCTCAAGTGATTGTTGAGAAAATATGCATGTCACGAATCCTCGTTACCCCCTTTTTTTTGATATGTTCTGTTATACCGTAACTCAATGTATAAAAATTTCCCTTGCAATAGCTTAGCATAGTTCATAACTATCTCTAGAAATGAAAGAAAACTATGAAGCTAAAGGCAACTCAAGAAAAATCACTGACAAATTCTTTACCTAAGAATCACAAGAACTTAATTAATTCATGATAATCCAACGAATGATCCCAAAACAAATCATGACAAACAGTAGTAGTCCAGGAACGATAAATAATTGAGAAGGATTCACTTTTGTACCTTAAACAGAGGAGAAGAAGAGTGTTTTCAACAACATTGCAGGTTGTCTAGTTAGAAAGACGACTCCATCACTGGTGCTTTCGTCAGATCTTGATAGGCCAAGAAATTCCTAATTTCATTGTTCATGAGAAAGAAATACTAGATTGCCATAATACAACCTTCACATACAACCAAAATTTCCCGATCACTATATAACCTCGACCATTGTTAAGGCAAAACATAAAAAAATTTGAAAAGGAAATCAGAGATGGTGTTATTGGTTCGATGCAAAACTATCACTAAACACTACAAAGCACAATCGAGATCTGGTCTCCACTCATAAATGATAAAATCCTTTTGCTAAATTATATTTGATTGAGCAGAGCTTAAGGAATAAAAAAAAGAATTACTTTTTTGTACTCTATAAATGCTTATGCCCCTTACAGTTATAAACCCACCCCAGTACGGATGCTTCATGCCTCAACTTTCTCCTCCAACTAAGACTCTCCATTGTTTTATATCTCGTTTAACATCATAGATCTGTTTAATTAAAGCGTAAGTGATTTCAATGGATAAAAAACAAAAAGATTCTAGCAAAAAAAAGTACATGATTTACTAATGGATGCTAATTCGTTGATGTTTTCTGCCGGCGGAAAAGCCCAATCGCCACCTGCTAATGCCATCACGATGTTGTTGATTTTTTTTTATCTTCGATTTGTTTTCTTCCAACAAAAGACTTCGACAGTAATTGTGTTGTCGATGACTCTGCTGGTGACTATGCCGGTCGAATTTTTATAGTGTAATATACAAACAAAAATGACTCTACCGGTTTATAATTTTGATATTGGTGGTTTCTTTTGATGGTGGACTTGGGGATCATGGGGGGTTTTGACGATAGTAGGCAGATTAGCAAGTTTTTAGGAGTAATTTATTTTTATGATTAACTAATGTAATTGATCTACTTACCATTACCATGACTAATTAACGTAAGAGGATATATAGATATAGATTTTACTATAAACTTAAGTAGGAAGAGTTTAATGGTTTTACATATAGATTTACTATTTTACTTAAAAATGAGAGAGAAACCATTAAAGGATATAATGACACCTAAGCTTTTAGGATTTTTGTGGGTTTTCTCATAATAGGATAATATATATATATATATATGTATATATACAGAGAGAGAGAGAGAGAGAGAGAGAGAGAGAGAGAGAGAGATAGAGAGAGAGAGAGAGAGAGAGAGAGAGAGAGAGAGAGAGAGAGACATAGGGAGGTAGATGTATATTATTGTAGATGAACAAACTTTCAATGTTTACATATCTCTTATAACTTTTTAAATATTATATAAAATATAAAAGTGTGCCTGTGCAATTTAAATATTAAATTAAAGAAATTAAGTAAAAATTTATGAGAATGTTTACCATGTTAAAACTTTAAACTTTTTAAAATGATTTTTTATTCATTTGGTTAGTTTGCATGTACTATTTCGTAAGTTTTTCAGAATTTATGATACTTTATTATTATTTAAAAATGGACAGGACCATATCATTAAAGTTAATGACAGAACCTTAAAATTTTCCCTAAATTTAGTTCTTTGTTACAAATCACAAAATCATGGACAATGTTTAATCTAAGAAGGAATCGAGGTAGTACTAATTTGGCAAAATGATTTCATTAAACGAATTTTTTATTTTTACTTTTGCTTTACTTGAGGGCATGTATGGAAAATCTTTTTGATTTTTTTTTTTGTTTTTTGATTTGAAAAATGATTTAAAAAGTAGTATTAATGGAAGTATAAGATTGTATAGATATTTTTTAGATAAAATATTATTATTAACGACATCATCAGACGCCACTAGACCAGACCACTCTGGCCAGCTATATTACAGTAAATCATATAAATTTTAAAATATAAGTTTAAATGTTTTATAATTATTAAATACTGTATATTTTATCTCAGGTTTTTCTTGGATTTAAGTGGCTAACACTGCATGCCCTCAATACTTTTAACTAAAGTAATCTCGCGTTCTTGTAGTCTTAATTAATGTTGTTATCATTGGTACTCCATCTGGTCATTGTTATAAAATATTTTGATTTGACTTCAATTTCATTTAGTATGCTCTTTCAATTAAAAATAAAGGCTAAACATTTTGTTACAATAATTGAAAAAATACAATAAAGGTGAAAATATATTTTTAAAAGTTTATTTAGTTATAAGAAAATACTAAATTAAATTTAAGACAAATCAAAATGTGTTATAATAAGGCCGGAGTAAGTATATAAATAATGGACCGACCAACATGATGAATAGGGAGAGATTGACCATTACCTACAGTGAGATGATCCTTACCATGATAATCATTGGCGGTGCTGAGTGAGGCAATATCAGGGGTGGCATGATGAGTGGCACCAGTATCCGGGTACCACGGAGAAGGAGAAGAATGGGCCACAAGGTTGGCTTGGACAGGTGGTGTTGGCAGAAGACCATCAACCGAAGCAGATGAATTTGAGGAGCGAGGCATGAAGGTAGGATCAAACCGGCAGCGACTAGTAGCTACGGTATGATTGGAATATCCATAGAGTTGACACACCATACATACCTGGACTAGGAGGAGCACTGTAGAAACCACGGCGACCTCCACGACCACCTCTGTTATTGCGACCACCACAAATTTGACCATGACCACCGCGAGTAGATTTCGGGTCATTGGCTTGAGCAATGTTAGCAGCAGGAGGGAGGGCTGGTTGCTGCGCTTTTAGCAGTAGCTCATAAGAGACAAGTTGACCATGAAGATCTTGAAAACTTGCTGGATCGGGTCACTGTTGGAGGGCACCAATAATGCCATCGTAGTCAGAACCAAGCTTTCAAAATATGATAGCATTAAACTCAGCAGAAGAGATAAGGAGGCCGGCCATAGCCAAAGAATCAGCGATGGACTTGGCTTTATGAAGAAAGACAGACACCGATATGTCATCCTTCAAAAGGTTGTAAAGCTCAAGGATGAGTTGGGTTTGTTGGGCGTAGGAAAGAGCGCCATAATTGTCAGCAAGGGTTTTCCATGCTTGAGCAGATGTTGAAACACCTTGAAGGATAGGAAAGATACCCTCACAGATGGAAGACAAAATCCAAGAGAATAAAAGCTTGTCTTTTTGATGCCATTGTGCATAAGCCGGATTAACATCCATAAGAGAGGTGGTAGGATTAGCGATTTGCTGTGGAGGAGGTGGTTCAGAACCATCAACGATGATCTTAGGATTGTTTCGGTGCATATATTTTGTACCAAACTCTTCCTAGATTACCAGGCTTGTTTCTGATTTTATGTTTTATCAGATGGCTTGATGGATTTTTAAAAATATGGGTTCAAAAAACACATGTTGCTGGTTGTATTTTAAAACTGAAGAAAATCAGATTCGGGCATGACTTTGAGCGGCTCATTTTTCCTATTTATTGAACTCTTTTATAATATTTATTCATATAAATCTATTCTATATTCAATATAATTTATTTTAGTTTTTACGGATTGATAAATGGACTTATAGTTTGTCCGAAAATCTCATTTGAACATGACATGTTCATCGCCAAAAATGCAGAAAATTTCAGAGCAGACCTCTTCTGTTAAAAGGTCGATATCTCTTGTGTTTTTAACTCTTTTTCAGAATTTATTTTTGGAAAACTCTTCTTGATTGAGTGCAGTTCAATGTGGTTTTTACGGATTTCAAAACGGAGTTACGTATTGTTCAAAAAGTGAGTTTAAACAGGACATGTCTATCTCTTAATTTTTTTCAGAGCAATCTAGTTTCGCCTTCTGTTTTGGGAGGCTCTCTTCTTTTTACTTCTGAACCTTCTTCTCTGAATTCTTGGATGAAACTCATCTCTGTTTGTGCTGAGTTAATATTGTTTTACCACTTTGCAAAAATAATTATTCTTCTTTTTTTGTGGTAAATTTGTGTCTTATTATTTTAGTGGTTAGAACAAAAACTCAAGTGGGTAGTAGAGTTTATAGTTGACATATGGACTCAAGTCAAACTCCAAATGGGGCAGCAAATTACGGTCATAACATTGGTACATCAAGCACTATGTTTATTTTGTGTCATGTTTGGAACTTTCTATTATATTTTCTCCCTTATTTATGTCGAACATTTGGGCATCTTGTAGCTACAATGTTGATTGTGTTAATTTTATCTCTTATGAACATATATTATAGGCTTGACACGAAAGAACTCTATGGTCAACCAGACCAATCTTAGACTTAGGGAAGAGTCTGAAATCCATCACAATTTTAGTACTCATGAAATCGAACATGAGCAAGGTAATGTAAAGTTAATTTGTATGAATTTTTTTAAACTTGAAAAAAACTAATGTAATTGTCAATTGTTAAGGTATTGAAAGTGATTCTGAAATTTTTGAAACTGAAACCCGTGGTCCAACATGTATGAAAAGTATTTGGGGTCAGCCTCTTTACCTTCCCAAAATTCATGTTGAGTATTGTTGAACTAATCATTATCTCATGTGATAATTATCCCATGTTTAGTTAATTATTGTATTTATCATCATCTGTTGTATTTATCAGTAGTTAACTTATGTAAATCGTTAGTTGAGTTGTGTAGTATATATACATACATGTACTCACTGTATTTGGCAGTCAATGAACTTCAATCACTTTTGTGAGATCAATCTGTTTTATTAACTTGGTATCACGAGCATTTTTTTTTCCTAGTCCTCCTTCCTTTTCATCATGGTCGACGATTATGCAATCTCATCCAATTCTAATTCTTCTCTCACTCAGCCTGCTCCTCTTTTTTCTTTTTCTCCAAATCTGTCCTCCCTTTATCAATCTTTCGGCATTAAGCTGCTATCTCGTGAAAACTATACAGCCTGGAAACTTCAATTCACTCCTCTCCTCAACATGCTCAACTTATAATTCAGCACCTTATAAAAGTACTGCAATCAGGATTTTCTCAACTCCGTATGACCGAATTCTTTAAACTCATTGATTCCCTTCATTTTAGTTCAATGATGTGCTCATAATTTACCTATTTTTAATATCCCTTTATGTGAAAGTTCGTCAATATTTTAAGTACAAATGTGCTACTTATGTGATTTTATATTTGATTGCACAAAAATTATACTCAAATGGAGGAATTGTTGAAGTTTTGAGCCAAAATGAAGATAAGAGCAACTCAAAGGGCTACAATTGAAAATTTGAATAATGATTAGGAAGAAATTAGAGATCTTGAAGACTTGGAGACCAAGTAAGCAATTTTGAAACTTGGTTTGGTTTTCTTGGCCGAAGCTTGCTAGTTATCTCTTGCATATGACAAAACCAAAGAAGCGGTGCTGTTTAGAGTTGGAATTTGGCAAGAATTTTAATCTCAATATTATTTGGGGAAACAAGTTTTCTTAGACTTCAAGAAGTAGGGTTTGACGGAAGTCTATAGAAGGAGAATTAGGGTTTTATATTGAGAACCGAACTTGACCGAAACCCACACTCAAAAATTCCCTCACGGCTGCAACTTCCCCACCGAACCAGCAGCCCCCTCCTCTCTGCACCATCCATCACCTCTCTTCATCATCGTTAGCACGAACCTCCACCACAAAACCCCACACTCAAACCAGCAGCATCACTATACCATCCACGACTAAAAGCCTAAGCACGCAGCAGCTTCTTCTCCACCTCTCGCACCAATCCATCAAAGTGGAAGCTTCAGCAGCCGAGAAGAACCAAGCAGCAGCCGTAGACTTCAAGTTTTCAATTCGGCGGCTTTATTCTTCTCCCGGGTTTTTGGTGTTTTAATTCCTTTAATTTCAGACTTTGAGATGATGATGCTAAATATTATTGAATTGTTTTTAATAATGTATGTTTAGAGACTAAGTCTTTTAACCTAGGTTTGGATGTAACCACCTGATTACTTGGTTTATTTTGATTCATGATATTTTGGCTTTTTCTATTGATCGATATTTAATATTTTTGATTTCACTCATGTAAGTAGCTGGCTATTATTTGCATGTTTAGAGGTGTTTAACCGAAGGAACGGTAGTTGAAGGTTAACACTAGTCCATAGGAATATTAAACGTAGGGAGTGAGCCACGACAGTAGGAGAATTGCCTTTGCAACTAATAAATTCTTAAATTCTTAATGTGCTCTAGTTATTTCCTATAGTCACGACAGTAGTCATATGATTAATTAGAGTAAGAGAATTATATCACGATGGTGAATATTTCTTAAAAAGATGAATTCATGTGAGATTAATAAAAAATCCAAAGCCAAATAATCATGAATTAGAATTGAGCCAAGTATTCGGTAGGTGAACCCAATGTCCTAGGTTTTCTTTGTCTGATTATCTGAATTAATATTATTTGCTTTTATTTTATTTATTTATTTTAGTTTTAAATTTTATAAATCTGAGATTGTCGTTAGTCTAAATAATAGTAATAAGTGATTTATAACTGGTATCTAGTTTTCCTTCTCTGTGGGACGATCCAGTTTGCTACTGTGCTATTGTCATTAGTGTTGAGTAGGTTAAATTGTATTTGATTAGCTTGACGACGGTTTGTCAAATTTGGCACCATTGCCGGGGAAGGCAACTAATATCTAACTTAAATTATTTTCTTTTATTAGTTTAGATTTATTTTTATCTTTATTTTATTTTATTGTTATCCTGGATAGTTTTATTTTTGTCTGGTTTTTATATGCGCAGTGCTAATCCTGAGACTTTGCAATTTGATCCAGAAATCGAGAGAACAGCTCGTGCAAACAGAAAAGAAGCAAAGCTAAGGAAAGAGAAGAATCAGAGTGACACCATGGGTGATAATGAAAACAACAATCGGACTGTAAGGGATTACTTCACACCAGCTGAAAGTGTTTCTAGGCCATGTATCACTAGGCCTACTGTTGCTGCAAACAACTTTGAGCTAAAGCCGTCCTTGATCCAAATGGTGCAGCAGAATCAGTTCTCCGGAGCAATGAGGATCCAAACACTCATATAGACAATTTTTTGGAGATCTGTGACACTATTAAGATCAATGGAGTGACGTCAGATGCAATCCGGCTGAGACTTTTCCCTTTCTCACTGAGGGGAGAAGCAAAGAGTTGGTTGAACACCTGTGATCCCGGTTCCATCACAACTTGGGATGAACTGTACAAAGAGTTCCTGAGCAATTTCTTCCCACCAAATAAGGCGACAAGATTGAGAAATGAGATCACAGGATTTGTTCAAGAAGATGATGAAACATTCCATGATGCATGGACAAGATTCAAGGAATTGCAAAGAAGATGTCCTCACCATGGTATTGAGAAGAGTACCCTAGTTCAGACTTTCTATCAAGGGTTGATAGAGTTTGTGAGAAA